TGAGGCTGGTAAAACAATAACGAGATGTTTAGTATAAATCTATGTTTCACAATAACAATAAAAACAGTCATGACATGAGTGTGACAACAGGCCCTTTTCTGAAATTTTTTTTTGGGGAAAAAAATGATTAAATTGATATCTAAAATACATTTTTTCCCAACCCTGTTTTTGTCAGAGCTGTAAATTAATATAGTAAAATTTTGCACTGTTTAAATAAAAAAAAATTACATTTTCATTTTACTTTTATATATCTGTAGCTATCATTTTTCCATCTTTTTTGTTTAAGATTAACATGGAAAAGGGCCTATTAACATAAATAATTTCCTTATTATAATATTATCATTATTATTACAATATAATTAGCAAATACTCAAATCACTGTTACTTAAAAAAGGAGACTGTTAATCTGTAATTATTTAATAGAACAAAATATTACAATTTACAATCTAAAAATACCTATTAATTATGGGTACATTTTTAATTATTTTTAATCAAAGACAATTTGTATAAACTTTGTATAAAGTACTTACTGTGTACCGAATAGCTCAGGGAATTCTGGTTCGTTGAGCTGATCAAGTAATAGAGGCACTTCCTCTCTTGCAGGTGTTGATGTCTGGTCTATCTTGATGACCCGAGAACTAGTACCATTACCACTAGGTCTAATATCCCTAGACTGATTGGGACTAGGGGTCCTAGACCTAATGGAATGGCACTTGTCCCTGGTACATCTAGATCTTGACCTGGGACTAGGAGCCTTACATCTATTGGAATGGCACTTGTCCCTGGTACATCTAGATCTCGACCTGGACCTGGGACGTCTAGACCTAGACCTAGATCTAGAACGTCTTCTTTGTCTGAAAATATAATTATTAAAATTAAAGAAATGAAATGAAAAAAAAAAAATTAAATGAAAAAAAATAATAATGTTACAACAATGTCAAAATATCTGAGACTGTCCAATATAAACGTTGATACTGGATCTACAAAGTAGAAAGCCTGATCTGTATTTGAACTTGAGCATACATGTCAACTCTCCCTCTTTGAGCGGGTGACTCCGACTTTCTGCTTATAATTAACTTTAATTGCTTATTTACAACAGAAAAACATATCAATATAAATAATCAATCCTGACATGATTATTAAGAATGGAAATAATTTTTTTAACTTTCCTAAAAAATGTCCAAAAAATGGGAGTAAAACGTCCATACAATTGACAAATTGGGAGTGAAACGTCTACAATGTAGGTGTAGGTCTTGGGAGTGACACGTCTCGATAGTGAAATGTCTTGCATGGGAGTGAAACGTCTGACATTCTGTTGAATAAACCCTTAAAGAAATTGTCGGCTTCTCAAAGAAGCACATGGTCATCTGATACTACAAAACAATTGGGAAAGAAAAAATATCGAGCTTTTTACCTCAAATAAAAATTGTGAAGAAAAAATGAAGCTACAGTAGATTTATAGTAAAATAGAATCTACCATAGGCACTTGGTTTCGGGATAAAATAACCCTTTGAGAGGTTTGTAGAACTCAAATATAATTGAATGTTACAATTTTTTTAACGTAGATGTCTCTTTTCTAAAACCGTCATTTTTCCGAATAGAGTCTATATCGGAAAAATGACGGTTTTAGAAAAGAGACATCTACTGACGGTAACATTCAATTATATTTGAGTTCTACAAACCTCTCAAAGGGTTATTTTATCCCGAAACCAAGTGCCTATGGAATCTACATGCAAAAATCAAATTGTGCGGCCATTAAACTCGTATCTAAGGAGCGGATGCTGCGCATGAAAGCTAACCAATCAAAACATAGCTTTCAAATACAATGGCGGACTTAAAGAAAATAGTCCGCCGCAAATGAATTAATGTACATGTATCGGTTTTCATGCACGAAAATTGCCTATTCGTGAATTTCCATCATTCAAAATTATCTAAATAATAAATAATTGTTTGATGTAAAGATATGTTGTATCATTATGTGATATGTTTTACGGAAAAACCATAATCTATAAATAGAACAAGTAGCGGTTGCTATGCTAAGGGCGGAATCAAATTAAACCGATTTTGCTGGTCATTTCCAATCCAATTTAATCTGAGAAATGTATATTTTTCTTCCTTAAATTATAGTTTATCGTGTTTTGAATAAAACTTATTGTAAACACTGCATTTTCGGTAGAATTTTCAGGCTACCTATGCAGTTGATTGTCGATTGAAAAGTTTTTTTCGGCGGCATTTTTTTAAAACTTACTATTTTGTTTACCGGCACTGTATCGATATTAAACGGCACAAATATAACAACATAAAGGTTTTGGAAATAAAAATAAATAATGGGAATATTGTACAATTTTTTTCTGGTTCAGAAATTAACATCGTGTCTGTAAACCTTACCCCGCCCACTTTGATGTAGCAGCAGACTGAAATCGCGATTTAAATATCAAAAAATCATTTAAATGAAACTGAAATAACAGTTACAGAATAGCATACGTTGAAGATATAATATTCATACATTAATTTAAGTGTTTAAAATGCTAAAACACTTACGAATAGTATGAAGATTTTCTTTCCCTGTCAGAGCGCATATTTTCAATGTTAGCTTTGACTGCAGATGTATGAATCTGAACGTGCCAGCCTGACAACAAGGCCCTTTATATATGGTATCCAGGGGGTAGGTCGACCAATCAGTGCCGACTATCCAGTCGACCAATCAGGAACTAGCATTCAAAAGTTCGCGGGCACCAAACTCTTGTGTTTTTAATTGCATTAAAACATTATTTATAAAATAACTACGCATCGGATTTGAGCTCTGTTTTTTGACAATAAATAAGTGTACAGTTCCTCAATATTTTAAAACATTTCTACCACGATGTTCATTGATATGTGAATTTTCTCGGTAATTGTTTGTGCATTTTCAGTCAAAATTTTTAAATTATGAATAAAAGCAGCTTATATTTTTGATAATATGCAATTGAATGCACTTATTCAGGAATAAAATAAAGTAACATGCAGAACTTACGATGGCAATCATTTAATGCACTGCAAAAACAATTTCAAATTCATATTTCAATAGGAAAAAATGTCTAGTAAAAACACAGCCTTTGCGTCTCATTTGTTGTGCATGATATGACTTCACGCAATGATACTTTTTGCAATGTCTTATGTGATTTGACAGTCAACATGCATAAATATTTTTATTTTAATTGTAGATTCTTAAATAGAAATAGATTAAACATGAAACAGGTCAAAACTAAAAATGTTACAGGTTTCGGTTCGATATAGATCTAGCTAGAGCTCTCGAGCTAGCCTGTTCACAGATTGTCGAACAGGTTTATAGGCCTCTGATACGCGGGTATGAGGTGACCATTCTTGTGCCTAGTAAAAAGCCTATTGCCGTGAAGGGAATCGTCAAAACTATTGCACTGTTTATTTTTCAAGAAAATAAAATATAAGGTTAGATCACGGCCGTCTACCTAGACTCCGAAAAATTGTGCTTTTTAGGAGAATTTGCAGAGTTTGCAATATACACAGAAAGAACAAATAGATGCATCAAGTCATACCAATGACAAGCGGGCATCTGGAAGCCATGTTTTTTAAAGTGACTAAAATGCTCATTTTTTCATTGACAAGTTTAGCTGAATTTCAAAAGATTGACTGTTATAATGATGACTTTTACAACACGGTCATCTAGCGACCTTGATTCTTGTGCGTGAACCATGGGAACGAATGGCGCCCCAAACCATTGCACTGTTTAATTTGCAAGATATTGGACCGAAATGTATAGGTCACAATTAGCTCCAGAAAGTGTTGTTTTTTACAAAATTAGAAGAGTTTATAGGGTTTTTAGAAAGATTAAATTTCTATAACAACTAACACCCATGCCATGCTGGCATTGGGCGGCTTTGTTTCTTAAGCTTATGCCAAGACTCTTATAACATGTATAACTGGACCTTCTTAGAAATTATACTAGTCAATTGGCAACGGTATCGAAAAATAAGTAGGTCACAATGGGTTCCAGAAAATGGTCCCTTTTTACGAAATTCGTAAAGTTTATATACAGAAGGAAAAATAATGTGATGGCTTAAAAGAGTATGATACGAAGACATTTAAGAGGCCATGTTTTTAAATGAGCTTAACAGTTTCTAAAGTTTCGAATGTTGCAGTTAAGGGCACACTCCAAGCTTTTGCACTGTATAGATTTCATAGAAAGTGGACCAATAGGTAAGTCACGCCAGGTGCTTTCTTACGACAATTAGTAATTTATACAGAAGATAAATCGCCTATATTTTGCCAAACTCTCAGAATCTATGTGAAAGACCCTGGTTAAAGATAGTCTAAGAAATGTCACAATCAAGGAAACGTTTTTCATGGTGTATGCTGAATCGGACTAAATTAAGTTTTCTTATCAACATAATGTTGTTATCACTCCTAACGGAGTTAAAGCTGCACACCTCCAGATGAGCAAAAATATTTCGGTAAAATAAAACCTGAGAAAAATGTACTTTAAGATTTTAGGGAAAGTATGAAGATTCAAAATTTTAGTAAAAATTTACATGTTATGTGTGATTGATGACAGATTTTTTTTCAGTATTTATAAATATATTTCTACTGTACATTACTAATACAGTAAGGGCTATTTTTGCATATTTTGACCTCTTTATAGCAATTAATTTACATATGTTGTAGAAGTGCCATTGAAAATGTGTCAACTTCTTTTGGTAACTTTACAATGTTATACTGTTAAATACATTTTCAAATTTTCATGAGAATTAGCATGAATCTTTAGGCGTGCTGCTTTAAGGCCACACACGTTTTATTTTAAGTAACTTTATCCCCATTTGATTTGAGAAAGCTATTGTATTTCAAAAACATTTATTTAGTACTGTGTAGCCTAAATCTCTTTAGAGAATTTTATTCATCAAATTTCAATCAAGTATATAGTCTTTCGCAGGTGCGTGACCGGTTTTGCTGCAACCCGTCGTTGCTAAGAGAATTTTGTAACAATATGGCCGATGGAGAAAATACACAAAAGTAGTTCCAGATTTTTTAATTATTACGCTTCTGGATATTTTTACTTTCAGAACCACCATATAACAAAATCGTATGCAAATGAAATATTTTGTAATTAAATTTAGTTTTTATTGGTGATATAACGGACAGAGTATTCCAGTACTGATAGATATTTTGAACTATTTTCAATCACGGAAAGTTATCAGTAATTTTTTTACATTCAGACGGACACCTGTTTTCCATGACAGCGTCTCGAGAAGTTTGGAACTTTTGAAAAATAATGTCAGAATAAAATCATGGATGACGAGCGAATAGATTGGATACGGCACCAAGTTTATCTTGGTTTAGACATTAACGAAACAGATCTAGAGGTTTTTGAAGAACTATTAGATCGTGATGATGGTGTTTGGGAAAGAGAGCTGGGGAAATTTTTGAATGACACTCCAGAAGAAAATGAATCGTCGATTGTTTTCTATAAAATCACGAAGGAGGAAGAAGAGGAAGTAGAAGTTGAATGTGGTAAATATTTTGCCAGTATTTTATTCCAATATCAGTTTATTATTTCTAGACATCAACAATATTATATTTGATAAAGAAAATTAGATGGGAGCAAGAAACTTCACCCCACCCCCCCCCCCCCCCCCCCCCCCCCAAAAAAAAAAGAAAGAAAAAAAAGTCACCTCTGCAACATTTAATTTATCTAGACATAAAACTAGAGCTGTCATCGATATCGACAATATCGATGTATCGTTGATATTTTTTTGTTGATCAATAATCGATGCACATTTTAAAAAATCGATACTTTTGACTTATAAATTAAATGTCTAGAAATTATACAATTCACCCAAAATATATGCAGAAACAATTATTTATATCAAATGTGATACTTTTGTTATATAGTGGAATTATTTCATAGCAATGGTGACAAAAAATATTGTCTAGAAAAAATCATGCAGTGGACAAGACACTGTACAGAACATGTTTTTGACTGAAATCATTGAAACTTGTATGAAAGTTTATGAAAGACAAGTGAGTATAGGATATTATCGATATATTGGTGTATCGTTGATTTTAGTTACTTGATATCGATATATCGCTGATATGCTTTGCACTGAATCAATGACAGCTCTACATAAAACCCCTGCTACAGTTTACCAAATCTCCACATACTGCATTGGCAATCTTTTGTTTTTGGACAGTGTGTTATTTGTCTGCACTTGCACGGGTAATTCATTGTCATCTCAGCAATCACAATGCGTTTTCAACTTCAAGGTTACTGACTGTTTTGTAGCTAGGAGATTTTATTGCGTCACTAGGCCTACAGGGTCATTACAGCAATTCCACTGCACTCGTCAGTAGATACAATGAAAAACATTTATATAAAATTATGTGTTATAAATTGGGATCATGGTGTTATGCATGCTTGTATTACACAGTAATTACAATACTACAAACTTACGGAAAGTTTGTTTTTTCTGCTATTTTTGTCACTGACATTTGAAAACGGAGTTAAAGTTCAAGTTAGCCAAAAAGACTAGAAAAAAGTGACTTCTCTTATAAGCCAAAATAGAGAGGTATATTCACTGACAGAAATAAACAATTTTTTTAGCTTGTATTGATATGTGAAAGTGTGTATCGATGTTGTATCGGATGACGAATATCGATGATATACATTTATCGATATCGCAATATTCAGTGACAGCCCTAGAGATTGGCAATATTACCTCTTTTTTATTGATGTCCTTAATCTTGCAGAGCCTGAGATTCCGGATATAACACAAGAAGAAGAGGCTGCAGAAGGTGAAGGTGGTGAACAAGCTCAGGGCGATGCAGCACCAGCAGAGGATGCTGAACCTAAAGAGCAAGCCCTAGGAGTTTCTACTCCCACAGGCGAGGCTGAGGAAGGTGCAAAGAAAGGTCAGTTTAAAAATATTTGTATTCAGTTGCAACATATATAACTCAATTTTTACCACTTAAAATTTTTTTTTATGCTGATAGGTATAGACCTTTACTTAAATTAAATTCTTTTGACTCTTGAAAAATTATATTGGTGTAAAAATAATGTGATCATATATTTTTGTTGTACTTATTTATCAATCAATTGGTTGACAATCTTAATAATTAAACAATGTAATTACACAGTATGTATTGTAGTACAGCACAGCACTGGAAATCTGAAATTTTGTAGAGCCTTAGTTGGCACTCTTTGTTACTGTTGTTGATGTATATCTCAAACTGAGCCTTTATGTTTTACATCAGCTGTTCTTCACCTTCTATTCTACTTTAATGATAGGTGCAAGTGGTAAGAAGAGGCGTAAAGCCAGCACACCAGGAGGTGAGGCCAAGTCTGAAACTCCTACACCAAAACCTGAGGCACCTACACCTGAAGTAGCTGAATCAAAGAATGAAGAGGAAGAAGAAGGTGAGGGGGAAGATCAAGAGGAAGAGGACAAGGCCCCTAGAACAGTAAGAAATATGTTGTTGTTGTTGTTGTCTGAATATTTTAATTTGATTTTTCTTCTTTAAACTTTGTAGAAGTTTTAAATTGATTTTTGTTTAGATAACAATAAACAAAACAACTGCTAAACTAAATCATTTATTTCAAGAATGATTTTTTTTCTTTTGATTGATAAATTAGATAATAGTTTACATATAATGGTCTTAAATGTAAATTAAAATTCTTCAAATAAGACCACTGGTTTCCTTTAAAAACAGAGTATTTGCATGAATAGGTTTAAATGTAAATAGAAAATTTTCTTTTCTTTTGGAACCATTGATTCACAGCAGATCTAAAAGTGATATGAAACTGTATTTATGTGGATAAATTACTTTTTTTATAGAAATCAATGTATTTGTTATTTTATTTTAGAAAATAGTTGTGCAGAAAGTGTTGAGAACATACCTGTACATGTGTTACCAGCATCTACCAGAGGAATTTGCTGATCATGATAGCATGTACTTTATACGTAACACACCTGGTATGGTCCCTCTACCCAACACTAAGGAAGAAGCCCAGGAAAGTTTACCTAACTACTTTGAGATGGGAATTTTGAATGGACATTCACTTGTCATGTTGGAGCACATTATTGCACAGGTAAAATTTTGAGTTATATGCATGTGTCTGTAGTAATAACATTGTATAGAGAAAGCACATTGGTATAAGATCACAATTTTCAAAAGAAATTGTCAAATAATTCTCATTTTCTTAGTAAGTATGCCTTTACATCAGGTTTAGTATTCCTTGTTTAGACAGCTAGACCCAGTAAACATACTTGTTGGAAATTGCCTGAAATTCCTATTCTTCCCAATAATAATCATTTAGTCTCAATTAGGCTTTTGTTGCAGCTCAATTTTATTTCATTTTCCCAATTTTGTAGACAAGACCCATTCCCAAAAGGATGATAAAACAACCACATGTTGCTTAAGCATTGACTTGATCAACAAAAGGACTTAGTCATATTCTTTGAAAATTTCTTTTTGTTATGATATTCTTACTTCCTGTACCAGTTAAGCTGGAAAGTCACCATATGACTAAGAAGCTACCAATGTGACTAAAAACCTAACACCCAACACCCCCATCCACCCCAAAAAAAACAAAACAAAAAAAAAACAACAAATGAAACAATAGAGTTTTTCTATGTTTTTCAGGTGTACATGCCCCTGCTATCATACAACCAGCACAGAAATGGTGAAGTAAAAGAGGGCAAAAGTCGCCCAGAGACTCGGACTGACACCCGGGCATCACATAAAACTGAAGAGGAAGATAACAAAGAAGGCGAAAAGAAAGTTAATGTCGCAGAGTCTCGTGCTAAAGCCATGTTAAGAGATGAATTTCTTATCAGTATGCAGAAGTTTTCAGCAAGTATTACTCGTACTATTCAGCAGATTGAGGGAGAAGTAAGACTAGAAGTTCCAGAGATGGAACTTGGTGACAATATTGATGAAATTGTAGCCAACTCTGAACTGATGGACCAGATTAGAGAAGTTTGTCATGAATGGACAAAGCAGATAAGAGGTGCACTAGAACTCCAGTTGAAGAAAGTCCCACATGGTAAAGGTCCTTTGGCAGAGATTGATTTCTGGAGGGAGCGTAATGCAGCCTTGAGTGCTCTTACAGAACAGCTAAAAATCCCACAGGTTGCTAAAATGTTAGAAGCATATTCCCACCTAGAGGCTGACTTTGATGACGTAAAATCTGAACTGAATAAATATTATGTAGAAGCTAAAGACAATGTCAGATTTCTTTCAACTCTTGAACGACACTTTAAGAACATAGCTCATGGAGCGACATTTCAGGTAGTCATAGAAACAATACCGTCGATGATGAATGCGTTACGTATGGTGTGGATTATTTCCCGACATTATAACAAAGATGAAAGAATGGTTCCGTTGATGGAAAGAATTGCATGGGAGCTGGCTGAAAGAGTTGATAAAGTCATTAACATCAGGAATATCTTCAAGTAAATATCACACTGATTGTAGATTAATTCATGTAGATTTTTGGGAACATAAATTCTTTTATCCACTATAACTTAATTCATTTAACATTTCTTAGGTAGAGTAGCCAGTCACCTGTTATAATTATAATCAGGGGATTGTAAAATAAATATTTCTTTTTGTTAAAATATTCAAATTTTAAAATCTTGAATAGTATGTTTGAGTTGTACCAAAAAACTAATAACTGATGTTTCTTATTACAGAGATACCACTGATGAAGTTAAAAGAAGAACTTCTGAGGCAAAGAGAATGTTGCAGGTATGGAAGGAAAGTTATTTTGAGGTTAGAGCAAAGATTGAGCAGTCTGGACGTGATCAAAGATGGGAGTTTGATAGAAAGAAGCTGTTTGAGAGGACAGATTATATGTCTAATATCTGCCAGGACCTCTATGATGTTGCTCAGGTAATTGGATAGCGCTTGTAAACACAAACTAAGTATATATTATACAATTATCAGTTTTGAATTGCTAACTTAATGCTATATCTTGAACTATATCTTTTTTTTTTGTCTGTTGTACTTATTCCTGCTTTAAATTTATGACCTGTATAAAGTAATAATCTTATCAAATGAATGTTTGTACAGGTGCTAGAAGAGTTTTACAACATATTTGGACCAGAGTTGAAGGCAGTTACAGGAGATCCAAAACGTATTGAGGAAGTACTTGTGAGAGTTGATGCCCTTGTAACCCCACTGGAGGAGGTGTGTATTAATGATATTTACTTGTATCTTTGTAAAGATCCTAATATTGATCACTTTTGGAAAATAAAAAAAACACTTTGAATAATTCATGATTTACACACAGTCATTTCAGTTCTGATGAAACCAAGTTTCTTTACATGACGTTTTTCTTTAATTTTCATGTGATACATTTTTAGTCCCCTACCGGTTTACCGGAGGGGACTTTAGGTTTACCCTCCGTCTGTCCGTCTGTCCGTCCGTCCAGACAGTTTAGTCCCTTCCGTCTGTTCCTTACAGGTAGTATGACGATCCGTCCCAATGAACTGCGAGGGATTACCGCCTGATAATTCAAAAATACTGAAGATAATTCTTATATGAAAGTTGATATAGGATAGAAGTGGACAGTATGGAGAATTGATGACACAGGATTTCTCTTCTCACAGTAAAACCTTTCTGGTTGCTATTGCACTGAGAATAGACTGAAAATTATCAATTTTATCACATAACTGGAATCGTCGATTTAACGAAAAATCTTTGTAATACATTTATCTTTATAAAATTATATATGGATTTAAGAAAGTATGGAATTATCACGTTTTTTTCATTTTACTTACTATGTTGAATTCGGTTGCTATGGCAACAAATAGACTGAAAATATGGCAATTTTACACATAACCTGGATCCAGTGATAACACAAAAAGTACTGAAAATATGTTTATGAAACTTGACATATTGGTAGATGGCAGTATGGAAATTATGCACATCCTTTTTTATCTTCCTATGTTGAAATTCTGGTTGCTATGGCAACAAATTGACTGAATTTCAAGATTTCTGATTCTAGTTTTTAAGTTTTTTCACTATAAGTTCTTTATTTCTTAAGGTATTTTCTTCAAACTTTAAATATAAGTTGCTTGTCATCAACCACATCATATGTGACAAGGTTTACAACTCTAGCACAAAAAATTATCAGAATTACCTCCCTTGAACTTAAAATTTTCATTAAAAAACATTGTTTTTTTTTTTAATAACTTCTTTTTTCTGAATGTATCTACTTCAAACTTCATATAAATGTTTCTTATTGTCACTCAACATTTGTGAGTGTTCAATACTCTAGCAAGACTATTAGGGAGAATTACGCCCCTTTTGAACTTAGACTTTTTTTTGAGAAATTGGTAATTTTTACTCCAACTTCTTCAATCATGATAGGATTTTAAAAATGTTATATTTTGATAACAGGGATGTTTAAAAAATAACTTTAGAGTGTCCGTCTGTCTGTACATAAAAACTGTTTCCTGTGATCACTTTTAAAGAACTTTTTCAACAAATTTACTTAAAATAGGAACCTAAGTGAATGGCCAATGGCCCTTCAGAATGTTGCTTGGGCTCTTACCGGTAGGGGACTTATGGATTGCTTGCAATACTATGATAATTGCTTGTTTATGTTGTTTTTTAGCACTTTTCAAAATCTATATATTCAGATAAATCTGTTTTTGTTTTCTTGCAGGTTGCCTTTGATCCTTTTGTTATCCGCCACTCCTCTTCATGGAAGAGTGTTATGGACCACTTCAACAGGGAGGTTGTTGCCATTGAAAATGAAGCAAAGATGTTTATAGACGAGTCCTTCCAGTCACTGAGATCTGCCGAGGGAGCATTTAATCTGCTCCTGAAATTCAAACATATCCGATCTCGTGAAGCCATCAATGCTCAGATGATGCAGAAGTTCCGTGATATCTTGGTACAGTATCAGAAAGAGGTGGACACTATGGAGAATTTGTTTATGACACAGAGAGATTCACCACCTCTACACAAGAACCACCCTCCTATAGCTGGCTCTATTTACTGGGAGAGATCCCTGTTTCATCGTATCAAACATGTCATCATTAGATTCCAGTCAATGGAAGATATGATGCAGAGTGACATGGGCAAGGCGGTAAGAAACTAATATGAAATAAAATGTCTCTGTAAAAAATTGTTCCTCAGTGTTTAATAAAAAGTTTAACTGAATGAAATATACTCCTTTTTACATTTTTCTAAATTATTTTAAAAACTTAAACTGATGCTTTCAATAAAGTGATAGAATTATTTTCAGTAAAGAAACATAAAATCTCAAAATTAACTGA